GTGGTGAGTGAGTGCGTGTTGAGTGGTGAGTGAGTGCGTGTTGAGTGAGTGAGTGAGTGGTGAGTGAGTAAGTGAGCGAGTGGTGAGTGAGTGGTGAGTGAGTGAGTGCATGGTGAGTCCGTGTGTACTCCTAACGAGTGTGTGTGCGCATGTGTGTGTTTGTGTGTGTTTTGCAGGTGTGTGTGCTCAGTGAGTGAGTGAGTGGTGAGTGAGTGAGTGGTGAGTGCGTGTTGAGTGCATGGTGAGTGTGTGTGTCCTCCTAACGAGTGTGTACGTGTGTGTGTGTGTTTTGTAGGTGTGTGTGTTGAGTGAGTGAGTGAGTGGTGAGTGAGGAGTGAGTAGTGAGTGAGTGAGTGCGTGTTGAGTGAGTGAGTGCATGGTGAGTGAGTAGTGAGTGAGTGGTGAGTGCGTGTTGAGTGAGTGCGTTTTGAGTGCATAGTGAGTGCGTGTGTACTCCTAACGAGTGTGTACGTGTGTGTGTGTGTGCGTGTGTGTGTTTTGCAGGTGTGTGTGCTCAGTGAGTGAGTGAGTGGTGAGTGAGTGTGAATGAGTGAGTGGTGAGTGCGTGTTGAGTAAGTGAGTGAGTGCATGGTGAGTGTGTGTGTACTCCTAACGAGTGTGTACGTGTGTGTGTACGTGTGTGTGTGTGCGTGTGTGTGTGTTTTGCAGGTGTGTGTGCTCACAGTGCTGTACTAAGGTGAGTGTGCGATTGGGGTACAGACACACACGGGGTCGCGTTGCCTTCAGATTGCCGAACGAATTCATAGTCGGCTTTGTGTTGTTATGAGGTCACTTTCATTACACGCACACACACGCAGTACAATACACTACACTATACACTACACTGCTATACACTACTATACACTACACTATACACTACTATACACTACACTATACACTACGCTATACACTACACTGCTATACACTACTATACACTACACTATACACTACTATACACTACACTATACACTACACTATACACTACTATACACTACACTATACACTACTATACACTGCTATACACTACACGATACACTACACTATACACTACACTATACACTACACTATATACACTACACTATACACTACACTATATACACTACACTATACACTACACTATACACTACACTATACACTACACGATACACTACACTGATATACACTACACGATACACTACACTATATACACTACACTATATACACTACTATACACTACACTATACACTACACTATACACTACACGATACACTACACGATACACTACTATACACTACACTACTATACACTACTATACACTACACTATACACTACTATACACTACACTATACACTACTATACACTACACTATACACTACACGATACACTACACTACACTACTATACACTACTATACACTACACTATACACTACTATACACTACACTATACACTACTATACACTACACTATACACTACACTATACACTACTATACACTACACTACTATACACTACACTATACACTACTATACACTACACTATACACTACACTGATATACACTACACGATACACTACACTATATACACTACACTATACATTACACGATACACTACACTGATATACACTACACTATACACTACTATACACTACACTATACACTACTATACACTACACTATACACTGCTATACACTACACTATACACTACACACTACACTACACACTACACTATACACTACACTATACACTACACTATACACTGCTATACACTACACGATACACTACACTATACATTACACTATACACTACACTACTACACACTACACTATACACTACACTATACACTACACTATACACTGCACTATACACTGCACTGCTATACACTACACTACACTGCTACACACTACACTATACACTACACTATACACTACACTATACACTACACTATACACTCCTTTACACTACACTATACACTACACGATACACTACACTATACACTACACTGCTATACACTACACTATACACTACACTATACACTACACTACTATACACTACACTACTATACACTACACTACTATACACTACACTACTATACACTACACTACTATACACTACACTATACACTACACGATACACTACACTATACACTACACTGCTATACACTACACTATACACACAGACGCATAGACTCACAGCAGAGACCCACAGACTCACCACACAGAGATTCATCGACTCACCACACAGAGACCCACAGACTCACCACACAGAGACCCACAGACTCACACAGAGACCCACAGACTCACCACACAGAGACCCACAGACTCACCACACAGAGACCCACAGACTCATCACACAGAGACCCACAGACTCACCACACAGAGACCCATAGACTCACACAGAGACCCACAGACTCACCACACAGAGACCCACAGACTCACCACACAGAGACCCACAGACTCATCACACAGAGACCCACAGACTCACCACACAGAGACCCACAGACTCACACAGAGACCCACAGACCCACCACACAGAGACCCACAGACTCGCCACACAGAGACCCACAGACTCACACAGAGACCCACAGACTCACCACACAGAGACCCCTCTGACCGTCACGTGACTCCGCAGGTTCAACTCCCCGACAAGAAGCTGTCCCATGTGCCCGTGTACGTCTTGGGCTGGTCCACCAACCCCAAGGATCCCGCCCCCCCTCACTCCCGCAATGGACTCTCCCTCGGCGGGTAGGCGGAGGTGTCTGTGTGTGTCTGTGTGTGTGTTTGGGTTGCTGTGTGTGTGTCTGTGTGTGTGTCTGTGTGTGTGTATGTCTGTGTGTGTGTTTGGGTTGCTGTGTGTGTGTGTGTCTGTGTGTGTTTATATGTGTGTGTGTTTGGGTTGCTGTGTGTGTGTCTGTATGTGTGTGTTGCTTTGTCTGTGTGTGTGTGTGTCTGTGTGTGTGTCTTGTGCTGTGTCTGTGTGTATGTCTGTGTGTGTGTGTGTCTTGTGCCGTGTGTGTCTGTGTGTCTGTATGTGTGTCTGTGTGTGTGTCTGTGTGTGTCTGTGTGTGTCTGTGTGTGTTTGTATGTGTGTGTTGCTGTGTCTGTGTGTGTGTTGCTGTGTCTGTGTGTGTGTGTCTGTGTGTGTGTCTTGTGCTGTGTCTGTGTGTGTGTCTGTGTGTGTGTGTGTCTGTGTGTGTGTGTCTGTGTGTGTGTGTCTGTGTTTCTGTCTGTGTGTGTGTGTCTGTGTGTATGTCTGTGTGTGTGTGTCTGTGTGTGTGTCTGTGTGTGTGTTGCTGTGTGTGTGTTGCTGTGTTTGTGTGTCTGTGTGTGTGTGTGTCTGTGTGTCTGTTTGTGTCTGTGTGTGTGTTGCTGTGTGTGTGTGTCTGTGTGTGTGTTGCTGTGTGTGTGTGTCTGTGTGTGTGTGTGTGTCTGTGTGTGTGTTGCTGTGTGTGTGTGTGTCTGTGTGTCTATGTGTCTGTGTGTGTCTGTGTGTGTGTGTCTGTGTGTGTGTGTCTGTGTGTGTGTGTCTCTGTGTGTGTGTGTTTTGTGCTGTGTCTGTGTGTGTGTTGCTGTGTTTGTGTCTGTGTGTCTGTATGTGTGTGTCTGTGTCTGTGTGTGTGTGTGTGTGTCTGTGTGTGTGTCTGTGTGTGTCTGTGTGTGTGTGTCTGTTTGTGTGTGTCTGTGTGTATGTCTGTGTGTGTGTCTGTGTGTGTGTGTCTGTGTTTGTGTGTGTTGCTGTGTTTGTGTCTGTGTGTGTGTTGCTGTGTGTGTATCTCAGTGTGTATCTCAGTGTGTATCTCTGTGTGTATCTCTCTGTGTGTGTATCTCTGTGTGTATCTCTCTGTGTGTATCTCTCTGTGTGTGTATCTCAGTGTGTATCTCTGTGTGTATCTCTCTGTGTGTGTATCACAGTGGATCTTTCTCTCTCTGTGTGTATTTCTCTGTGTGTATCTCTCTGTGTGTATTTCTCTCTGTGTGTCTCTCTGTGTGTATCTCTCTGTGTGTATCTCTGTGTGTGTGTCACAATGTCTCTCTCTTTCTCTCTGTATCTCTGTGTGTGTATCTGTGTATCTCTCTCTGTGTGTATCTCAGCCTGGGCCTTCTGTGGGCCGGTGCGTCCTCCTGTGTGTGCATCACAGTGTATCTCTCTCTCTCTGTGTGTGTATCTCTGTGTATCTGTGTGTATCTCTGTGTGTGCATCACAGTGTATCTCTCTCTCTCTGTGTGTGTATCTCTGTGTATCTGTGTGTATCTCTGTGTGTGCATCACAGTGTATCTCTCTCTCTGTGTGTCTCTCTCTGTGTATCTCTCTGTGTATCTGTGTGTGTATCTCTGTGTGTGTGTATCTGTGTATCTCTGTGTATTTCTCTCTGTGTGTCTCTGTGTAGCTGTGTGTGTGTGTATCTCGGTGTATATCTCTCTCTGTCTCTGTGTGTATCTGTGTGTGTATCTCTCTCTGTGTGTGTCTCAGCCTGGGCCCTCTGTGGGCCGGTGCGTCCGCCTGGGTGTGCATCACAGTGTATCTCTCTCTCTCTCTCTGTGTTTATCTCTGTGTGTATCTGTGTGTGTATCTGTGTGTATCTCTGTGTGTATCTGTATCTGTGTGTATCTCTATGTGTATCTCTCTGTGTATCTGTGTGTGTATCTGTGTGTGTATCACAATGTATCTCTCTCTGTGTATCTGTCTGTGTGTGTATCTCTGTGTGTATCACAATGTATATCTCTCTCTCTCTGTGTGTGTATCTCTGTGTGTATCTCTCTCTATCTCTCTGTGTGTATCTCTCTGTGTATCACAGTGTATCTCTCTCTGTGTGTGTCTCAGCCTGGGCCCTCTGTGGGCCGGTGCGTCTGCCTGGGTGTGGGCCTCTCTGTGCCGTGACTGCTCCCAGCTGCTCGACACGGTCGTGACCAGGAGCCACAGCTCCGCAAGGCTGCTGCACTGAACCTGAGAGGCTGGGTTCAACTCCACGGCCAGGCTGCTGCACCGAACCTGAGAGCCTGGGTTCAAGCCCTGGTCAGGCTGCTGCACACAGCCTGAGAGGCTGGGTTCAACTCCCTGGCCAGGCTGCTGCACCGAACCTGAGAGCCTGGGTTCAAGCCCTGGGTCTGGATGTCTCTCTCTCTATCAGGGGGTTCATAGTGGCCGTGACGGAGACACTGAGAGGCTGGGTTCGAGCCCTGGGTCTGGGTGTCTTTCTCTCTATCAGGGGGTTCATAGTGGCCGTGACGGAGACACTGAGAGGCTGGGTTCGAGCCCTGGGTCTGGGTGTCTTTCTCTCTATCAGGGGGTTCATAGTGGCCGTGACGGAGACACTGAGAGGCTGGGTTCGAGCCCTGGGTCTGGGTGTCTTTCTCTCTATCAGGGGGTTCATAGTGGCCGTGACGGAGAAACTGAGAGGCTGGGTTCGAGCCCTGGGTCTGGGTGTCTTTCTCTCTATCAGGGGGTTCATAGTGGCCGTGACGGAGACACTGAGAGGCTGGGTTCGAGCCCTGGGTCTGGGTGTCTTTCTCTCTATCAGGGGGTTCATAGTGGCCGTGACGGAGAAACTGAGAGGCTGGGTTCGAGCCCTGGGTCTGGGTGTCTTTCTCTCTATCAGGGGGTTCATAGTGGCCGTGACGGAGAAACTGAGAGGCTGGGTTCGAGCCCTGGGTCTGGGTGTCTTTCTCTCTATCAGGGGGTTCATAGTGGCCGTGACGGAGACACTGAGAGGCTGGGTTCGAGCCCTGGGTCTGGGTGTCTTTCTCTCTATCAGGGGGTTCATAGTGGCCGTGACGGAGAAACTGAGAGGCTGGGTTCGAGCCCTGGGTCTGGGTGTCTTTCTCTCTATCAGGGGGTTCATAGTGGCCGTGACGGAGACACTGAGAGGCTGGGTTCGAGCCCTGGGTCTGGGTGTCTCTCTCTCAGGGGGTTCACGATGGCCGTGTTGGAGACACTGAGAGGCTGGGTTCAAGCCCTGGGTCTGGGTGTCTCTCTCTATCTCAGGGGGTTCACAGTGGCCGTGTGGGAGACACTGAGAGGCTGGGTTCGAACCCTGGGTCTGGGTGTCTCTCTCTATCAGGGAGTTCACGATGACCGTGTCGGAGACATTAAAATCCTGGGTTCGAGCCCTGGGTCTGGGTGTCTCTCTCTATCTCAGGGGGTTCACAGTGGCCGTGTTGGAGACACTGAGAGCCTGGGTTCTAGCCCTGGGTCTGGGTGTCTCTCTCTCTCTATCAGGGGGTTCATGATGGCCGTGTCGGAGACACTGAGAGCCTGGGTTCGAGCCCTGGGTCTGGGTGTCTCTCTCTTTATCAGGAGGTTCCCTACAGCCGTGTTAGGTAGTAAGGGCAGCGCAACCAAAAACAACCTAAATAATATTAAATATAAATGTTCTGTGTGTGTGTGTACATAATACGTTGTGTATATAGTTAAAGTGCTATTATATTCGCCCAGAGTGTTGGAGGCATGTTTGTCTGTACCTCATTGTCACTGTGAAGAAGCGTCCATCGTGAGACCTCGTGTGGTGTCGCTGTGTGTGTGTGTGTAATGTCACGTGTGTGTGTGTGTCACTGTGTGTGTGTCACTGTGTGTGTAACATGTGTGTATGTAATGTCTGTGTGTGTGTGTGTTACTGTGTGTGTGTAATGTCGTGTGTGTGTGTGTATCGTGTGTGTGTGGCGTGTGTGTCACTGTGTGTGTGTCTGTGTAATGTCTGTGTGTTACTGTGTGTGTGTCAATGTCTGTGTGTGTGTGTGTAATGTCTGTGTGTCATTGTGTGTGTGTGTCACTGTGTGTGTGTGTGTCACTGTGGGGAGCGGTAGTGTAGCGGTTAGCGCGCTGCGCTATGAACCTGGCGACCCGGGTTCGATTCCCGCTCACGGCCAACACCAGTGACGATTATCTGAACCGGTCCCGGGCCTCCCCTAGGTCGACTCAGCCTCAAATGAGTACCTGGTGCGCTGTGTAAACATCGCCACTAGGGAGACAAAGGCGGTCGGGCGTGGTGCTGGCCACCCACCCCCTCGTGTACCGTTCCGGCCTTCATAGGTGCTCGCTAACAGCACTTGCCCCTACAGTCTGTTAAGGCTATACAGGGGATCTTTGTCTTTGTTTATCTTTGTGTGTAATGTCTGCGTGTGTGTGTGTGTCACTGTGTGTCGCTGTGTGTGTGTAACGAATCACCACGCTGTCTAAAGACAATCTTCTGGCTGCTGCTATACATGTCCACGTAGTGGCGACGACGATGACGACGATGACGATGACGATGACGACGACGATGATGACGATGATGACGACGACGACGATGATGACGATGATGATGACGATGACGACTATGATGATGACGACGACGATGACGACGATGATGACGATGACGATGACGATGACGACGATGATGACGATGATGACGACGACGACGATGATGACGATGATGACGATGACGATGATGATGACGATGATGACGACGACGACGATGATGACGACGATGATGACGACGATGATGACGACAATGACGACGATGACGACGACGATGATGATGATGACGATGACGACGATGACGACGATGACGACGATGACGGTGATCAGTCACTTTGGTTGTGATGGTCACATCACTTCTGATAAGGAGCTACACTGTAGCTCGGTGGGGCCTTGCACCTGGTAGAATTAATAAAATGCTTGGGTCCCTGTGGGTCTATTTATCTCTATGGGTCTCTATGGGTTTCTGTGTTTCTCTATGGGTCTCTGTGTATCTCTATGGGTCTCTGTGGGTCTGTTTGTCTCTATGGGTTTCTATGGGTCTATTTATCTCTATGGGTTTCTGTGTATCTCTATGGGTCTCTGTGTATCTCTGTGGGTCTCTGTGTATCTCTATGGGTCTCTGTGTATCTCTATGGGTCTCTGTGTATCTCTATGGGTCTCTGTGTATCTCTATGGGTCTCTATGGGTCTCTATGGGTCTCTATGGGGCTCTGTGGGTCTGTTTGTCTCTATGGGTTTCTATGGGTCTATTTATCTCTATGGGTTTCTGTGTATCTCTATGGGTCTCTGTGTATCTCTATGGGTCTCTGTGTATCTCTATGGGTCTCTGTGGGTCTCTATGGGTCTGTTTGTCTCTATGGGTTTCTATGGGTCTGTTTATCTCTATGGGTCTCTTGTGTATCTCTGGGTCTCTGTGTATCTCTATGGATCTCTGTGTATCTCTATGGGTTTCTCTCTATGGGTCTCTGTGTATCTCTATGGATCTCTGTGTATCTCTATGGGTTTCTCTCTATGGGTCTCTGTGTATCTCTATGGGTCTCTGTGTATCTCTATGGGTCTCTGTGTATCTCTATGGGTCTCTCTCTATGGGTCTCTATGTATCTCTATGTATCCCTAAGGGTCTCTATGGGTCTCTATGGGTCTCTATGGGTCTCTGTGGGTCTGTTTGTCTCTATGGGTTTCTATGGGTCTATTTATCTCTATGGGTTTCTGTGTATCTCTATGGGTCTCTGTGTATCTCTATGGGTCTCTGTGTATCTCTATGGATCTCTGTGTATCTCTATGGGTTTCTCTCTATGGGTCTCTGTGTATCTCTATGGGTCTCTATGGGTCTCTGTGTATCTCTATGGGTCTCTGTCTATGGGTCTCTATGTATCTCTATGTATCCCTAAGGGTATCTATGGGTCTCTATGGGTCTATGGGTCTCTATGGGTCTCTGTGTATCCCTAAGGGTCTCTATGGGTCTCTATGGGTCTATGGGTCTCTATGTATCTCTATGTATCCCTAAGGGTCTCTATGGGTCTATGGGTCTCTATGTATCCCTAAGGGTCTCTATGGGTCTCTATGGGTCTATGGGTCTCTATGGGTCTCTATGTATCTCTATGTATCCCTAAGGGTCTCTATGGGTCTCTATGGGTCTATGGGTCTCTATGGGTCTCTATGTATCCCTAAGGGTCTCTATGGGTCTCTATGGGTCTCTATGGGTCTATGGGTCTCTATGGGTCTCTATGTATCTCTATGTATCCCTAAGGGTCTCTATGGGTCTCTATGGGTCTATGGGTCTCTATGGGTCTCTGTGTATCTCAGGCAGTAGCTACGGGCCCCGCACTTTCAAGGTCCCCGCGCTCAACGATTTCAAGCTGTCAATTCCGATTCAGCGATTCTGCACTTGCTCTATTACTACAGTACTATACCGCCTTAGACTTTTATGGACGACTGGGTGTTTAAGGCGAGCGATTTGTCGGCTGTATAGCAATTTTTTTTTCTTAAATACAATGACTTTACTATGCCAGGTTAAAAATTATAATTGTCTACACTATGGGAACCTCATTTGCCAGTAAAAATATAATTGTTTTTTTAGCCTTCTATCTGGCAACAAAACTGACACCTTTTTTTTACAAGGAGTCATGTTTGCATAGACCACAATACCTGCAGTCGTAATACAAACAAAAATCATAACTCTGATAATATATGCACTGTCCTTGAAGTTGATTGGTCCACACCCGAGACCGCTTTCCTTAGAGCCTTAGTCTCACATGGGTTGGACCAGATGTTGTGCGCCTTTTGGCGTCATCTGGTCCAACACGCGACTCCAGGAAACGACTCTCCGTGGAGGAGAGAAAATCAATGAAATGATGGAAACGCGACGTTTCCATCATTTCGCGACGAACGCCAGTGGGTCGTGAATGACCCCCGAGTTGGCTTCTGACTGAAGCGGTGGTTGTGTTTGTATTCAATGACTAAAAGCGGGTTTCGAGTTTCGTTCGCGGCTACACGGGGGAATTCACAGTCTTTGGTTTTTATTTCGGTGAAGTCGCGTAGGTAGAAACGCAATGATACAGCGAATAGAAATAAATGTTGTTGTTATTTTTCTGTCCGTCGACGCGACTTTACCCAAAGAAACAGAAAGCAACACGAGGCGTGTTTCATACTTCGCGTGACCGGCCGGAGGGCGAACTCGCGGCACGGACGAGATGCAAATTCACTGTCCCCCCTCTCTCCTCCCTCCCTCCCCT